TTGAAAATCTCATGATTTTGCATCCTCATTTATATGACACGATAACCCAACATGCTTCCAGCGTAAGAAATGGCCTGATAATTGTGGGGATGATTTATATTTAAAGTGAATAAATCAAGAACATATACATATAAACTCAACTCACCACTCTATATATGGAAAAACAATTTTAGAAAACTAAAAACAAAAAAACTCAATGATGATCTAGTTTACTCCTTAAAAAAGTATTAAGCCACCTAAAGCTGGTATTTCTGAAACAAACCACGGTTTCCAATATTTCCCCTAATTGAAAAGACCACTGCTTATTAAATTTGGTCAGCATTTTAGGTAAGAGCTGCCAAATTTCACATTTATCTTTTAGGCTTAAAACCTGCTGTTTCATTTAAAAATATGTTCAAACACATCTGACTATTTGTACATTTGGGCAAAACGGTGAATCAGAATTTATCGTGCATCTGGACTGAAAGGATATAACTATTAAGCCTGAAAATGTAGCAAGTGAATTTATTATTAAATTGCAGATTGTGTCCAGTCATGATATATTATTATTCAAATGCATAAAGAATTATACAGCGATGGACCATTATAAAAACTGTGCAACCCCTGACACCATGCTTAAATCAGGTTCTTGTATGTGGTTCATGTCTGATTATACCTATTACCTAATTGCTCTTAAGCCTGTAAATTTCAATGACATATCAAGTGAGCTGAAGGTTAGGATCAAGTTTTTAACCAGGATTCAGGAGAGCTGAAACCTTTTCTTCTCTCTCTCCTGTCCCTATTACTTGTCTTTCTAACAGAAATATATAGAAATCACCTACATAATTCATAAGGTTTAGAGCAGAGGGATAGAATGGACTGTGCAGAACTAAAAAGTTTGAGCAATGATGTTACCATTAGAAAAATAACTAAAGGGCCAACCCCGTGGCTCATTCGGGAGTGCGGTGCTGATAGCGCTGAGGCCGAGGGTTCGGATCCTATATAGGGATGGCTGGTGCTTTCACTGGCTGAGCGTGGTGCACACGACACATTGAGCCAAGGGTTGCGATCCCCTTACCAGTCAAAAAATAAATAAATAAATAAATAAATAAA